GTCTTTTCTCTGTAAAAATTGAATCAACAATTAATAAAGATCACAATTTGAGAAGTGCCTCGCAAAAAAAAAAAAATTTTACTATGACGATTCCTGTATAAAATGTTTTAGACTTTGTGCCTGGCACAAGAATCAGCGGAAAATGGCACAAAGTGATTTGATTGGCTAGAACATTTTATATAATACGTGCTGTGTCGCGTTGTGTCGCATAAACTGATTAACGTACATATGCGACTGATCTTGTTGACACAATTTCATATACTGTATGCATGATATGATTCTTATATATACAGGTGCTTTCGCACTTTTGTCTGCCATCTTTCATACATTAAATCCAAATAATATTTAAAAACTATGGCAGAATATGCACGCTCTCGCTGTTGGTTATTTACTCTCAACAATTAGGTCAAACAACTTTTCGAAACTATGCCAGACCTTCGCTTTATAGTTTGACAAAAAGAAATAGGACAGTCAGGTATCCCGTATTATCAGGGATATGCTGAATTCAAGACTCCAAAATGTCTTGGAGGTGTACGCAAAGTTCTTTCAAGAGCACATTGGGAACCACGAAGAGGAACATGTGATCAAGCTATTGTATATTGCAAAAAATAAGACTCTCGAGTAGAAAGACCCTGGGAATGGGGTACGTCGGTAGGACAAGGTCAACGTAATAACCTTAATGAAATCCATACCATGATTAAAAAAGGTGCCAGCAAGCGAGATTTAATGAATAACTTTTCTTTGTAGTGTAGGAACTATAGGGCTTTCCAAAAAGCAATTCAGACTTATGTATGCCCTCGTCAAATGAAAACAATTGTGGAAGTCCTCTATGGTGAAACTGGTAACGGAAAATCCCAATATTGCATGGAGCAGTATCCATCGGCATTTTGGAAGTCATGTAATTACTGATAGGATGAATACAATAAGCATTCCGTTGTTGTGCTCGATGACTTCTACAGATGGCTTCCCTTCGACTTTCTTCTCTGTCTTTTAGACTGTTATCCATCAGATGTTGAAGTCAAAGGAGGAATAACAGTATTTAATAGTGAATGTATTGTTATAACATCAAATGCATCTCCAGATAGGTGGTATGATTTTCGTAAGAATCCAAATATGGTGTTTGAAGCATTAGATAGAAGATTAGATGTTATTATAGAGTTTAAAAAAGTTAATGATTATGTTCAAGATAATAATGGTGTATTTAGACATATTGGTAATCATTTTGAGAGAAATGTTCTTTGTAATGTTTGTAAACCAAGCAATGATGCTGGTGACGTGACTATCGAGTTGTAGTTTGTTTACATTTTTGATAATTATTGTTTTGTTTTTGATCTTAACGTACATACGTGTTTTTTCATGATTAATAAATAAGTATAAATACCCCTGTTATTCGTGTTTGTTCCTGTAAATTTCCAATAACATATTATCCAAGATATAAACGAAACTATCGCAAAACTGCGCCACGTCATCAATATTACCGTAGAATTAGTTAATAGTAAGTGGGAATTGTTGTATTTGGGAAATAGCAAAGAAAGTCAGTGAAACAATATGACGCAGGGACTCGCATTAAATGGCCTAGGATTCGTGTACTCCCTCCCTTGAAAGCATGTCATATTCTCTGTACTTTGTCGAACGCAAAACAAATTAATTTAAGCATTTCAGAATCAAATAAAAAAAAGATGTCCAAACGTATCTGATGTTGATTTTTTTTTTTCTCGAGTTTTGCTGGAAAAGCCAAACGTCCACCGCCAATTGGGTCGCACATGGAACGTTTGGAGGAAGTGAACTCAGATTGCCACCGCCAATTGGGTCTGTACATGACAAACTGGCCTTTTCATCAGGTAATCAAAAAAAATCACTTGATGACAAATCGCCAATTGGGTCTATACATGAGAGATTTGAGCAAAGTTCACGTTCCCAGTTTGCCACCGCCAATTGGGTCTGTACATGACAAACTGTCATTTTCCATAAAAAAAAGATTCTATCACTTGAGTAGAACTGACTTGACACGAAAATTGGAAAGTATACTGTTGGGTAGGGGTGGGCACATGACGGGGGATGGGGCATAGGATAGGGGCGCGATGTAGGGTCAGACGCATCAAACTGTGCATCAGTGGGGCGAAAGTTTGGGAAAGCTTATTTGGAAGTTTGTAGGACGCGACGATAGACTTATGGACGCGTCGCGTGTTATATAGATAGCTGTGCCATTGTATAATAAAAAAGGACAATTCGCCCAATAAATTTGATACCCGATTTCATTTGTACAACGTTTTAATTAATAAAACTTACCTTTCTTGTCCATAACCCGTCGATCGTGTAGTGTTTCGCCAAGAGGCAGGGGCAAAACAGAGAGAAATTAATTAAACACAAGGAAGAGGCAACTTCGTGGTAACCAAGAACAAGTGAAGACTTACCAAGTTCCATCCTATCGCGGCGCGAGCTCCAGTCCTGGGTTAGCGACGGACTCGCCGATAGTGACAACAATACATACAGACGCGTACGAGATTAAGTTTTTGTTGATCACGTTTTTGTAATTCGTGTATATCAACACTTCTTTTTCATATGAAATTTAAGGGAAATTGTTGATTTTTGTTCTTTAGTCTCGTTCACTCTTTCATCCTCGATCCCAAGGATATCTTTGTCAAGAACGCATTCACCGAAGAAGAGATGCATGAGATAGTTGAAAAGAAGAGCAGGCAGGATCCACTGGAGATCGATGATGAAATTCTCGAATATATAAACACGTTTTCCAAGGTAAGTCCATTTTTTATTGATAAAAATAACTATCATTTGTAAACTAACAGATTTCTGTATAGAATTCCACCATAGAAATAAGAAAAGCGCTGAACACGATACATCCTCGACTTGGAGACAATTTCAATCTACAGAAAGATTTTACCTACGATCACATAAGGACAACGGTGGCTGATTGGTAAGTGGCAAGGAAATTTTTGTTGGGTAAGTTGTTAATTAGCTCCTGCAATAGGTTAACGAATTAATATTGTACAGGTTACGACTTCTTGAGATGCAACCCAATTCACTTACTCTAGATATGCCAGAAGCTTGGTATCGCATCAATGTTTGGAGAATGGTCGATATTGCGTTTTCGGATATTCCATATACTTATGTTATAGGGTAGGTAAAAAATACAGATATTTCTGACTATTACTCGCAATTGACCTTTTTTTTTATCCGAAATCCAGAGGTGAGAAGGTCGAGTTGATCAGTTCTGAAAGAAAAAACCGGTACAGGACTCTGTCGAATATCGGACTAATCCAACGAAAAGCAATTGCAAAAAAGGAAGATGCGTACATCAGGACAATTGGGTCTATATCAACCGATTGGGCGGCGTCAGAAGCAGATCCGAAGTGGCAGGGTATGCACGATACTAAACTAATGAAGGAATCTGGGCTGAGCTTGCCAAGAACCTTAAAAGATATTTTTATCCATCTTGCCGATAAGATCAAGTTTGCAGAAGAAAAGTTGAGGAAGTTGAATGTGATCGGTTTCGTTCATGTAGGTTAGTATTTCTTGGATCTTTTCAATGCAACTTTCCTAAATTTTAATGACTAGTATTTTTTTAAAGGTGCAGTATTAATTAGACTACCCAGCTGGATACGTCTGCTGATACACGAGAGGAGATCTACTTGGGGTCTACTCAGACATAAAGAACTTTGGTAAAGCTTTAGATGTGTTGATCGAGATAATATATGCCAAGGTAAATATCTTGTTTTGTATAAGTCTTAAGCTTCTCCTGAAAGGTTAATTTTTTTTTTATAGTATAGTGATAATGCTCCATAGGTTACCAGGAGAAGGTCTAGGGTTCAAATCCACCTGGTTACACAAATTTATCACCTTCATACTAGTTTCTAATACATGTTGTATTCAATCGGCCAAAAAATCATTTATCAAATCAAGCTAAGTTGCATGGAAATAGGATCTTTGGTCTTTCCAATGATTGTGGGTTGAAAACAGGTCGAAGCATGGAAAGTTGTATGAAAAAAGGTTTCTGGTCTAACTTTAAACTATAAGTTCACAAACTTTAATTAAAATTAGTGGTGATAGATTTTATTACACAATTACAAAGAGATTAATTTTAAGCTAATCTATTCCAATTTGAAGCTTTGAGATTTATCTCAATCAATAGTATTTCACAGAATTTAAACATATGATTAAAAGAGCATATGTATCAGTTATAAGTAATAAAAAGCTAGATAAAATTATTAATGACAAATGAGTCTAGTGAGAATTAATATAGATTAAATCAAAATCTAAGTAATGATTCTAGTTTTACAGGTTATAAGAACAGTAGTATCATGTTATACTAATAACAATAACTGATATGCTGGGATTAATCTCTATAATGTTATTTCATAACATGCATTATTCATGATAGACATAGTCAAGACTGGATCTAATAGATTAGATGATTTAAAACTAGTAATAAAATTTTCACCTTCTATATAAGTTTTATTTAATGAATAAACCGTTTACTTAATATTTAAAGTTGCATATACTGAGTATATCAAATTTGTAATATGAAAAATCTGCAATTAGTAATAGTTAGTTAAATTAGCATTAAGCTACCATTTGATAGAAGATAGTTGATATAATGGCTATAAACTCTTGTTTAATAAAAGTCTTGCATTTAATACATATTATAACCATAAAAAAAAAATTTAAAAAAAAATTAAAAAATTATATTTATTCTTTATAAATTTGATCTATTATTTTTTTATTCCAATTATTTATATTATAATATTCTATTTTAAACATCAAATTCAAAATTATAGCTACTAAATAAGTTATATTTATTTTATTATAATATTCATTAAGTTTTACTATATATTTTTTCAATTAGTTGTACTATTATATCAAGTTTTTTATTGCTTGTATCATCTTCTATATGATCAAATAGTAAATTATATAAAAGAACTATTATAATAAGAATAAGATATGTTTTTGCTAATACTATTATTATTATTTGTTAAAAAATACAAGAAATTTTTGTATTTGCTAAAATATTTTTTAATTATTTTTGTTAAATTAATAATTTTTTAATTCAGTATATATAAACATAATATATTTAATTACCTAAAATAAAAATATTTTAAATAACTTATATAAATTTTAAAAAAATTAATTCAATAAATTGTTATTAAGCAATATCCTTTTATGATTATACAAAAAACAACTTTTCAAAACTTTATTAGAAAATATAAAATTATTTTCTCCTACTGCTATTAAAACATGTATAATAAAATTCTACTTGACCAACAAAAAAAAAATACAAAAATTGTTACAAGAAATAAAAATTGAATTTTATTTATTCTTGATATTTGGATATCAATATTACCAAAAGCTTTTTTAGCTATAATTGTACATTTTATCAATAAAAATTGAAAAATACAAGTAATAACTATTGATTTTTTATGAATTTAGAATATATATTCTGGTAAAAATATATAAGAAGTATTTTTAACATATTTAAAAAACTTTATAATTCAAATAAAGGCAAGTTTTATTTAATATTTATTTATTTATTAAATTTACAAGATAATAAATATTATAATTAATAATATTAGTAATAATTTAACATTTGCCAATACAGTAAAAAAATAAAGTAGAAATCAAGTTATTTAATTTACAACTGAAACAAATTATATTTGATGTTTTATACATATTATTAATTTAAATATACAAAAGACTAAAAAAAAATTACTAATAAATTAAAACAAATAATTTATAATATATATTTATAATATTTAAAAGTTGTTTTATTTATTTATTTTAAATTATTTATATATAGCTTTGTAAATTTATT